GATAAGTAAATAGGGAGGCGAAACATTAAGCCCCTATCTTCTTGTGTGTTTGATGAATGTTGTTTGTTCTAAAAATATGCTTTGAGTACTAGCAATCATAGAAGACTATATGATAATTGAGTATGTGGAGCTCTTACTTAGACTTTTTCAAAAATAAGTTGAATTGTAATTGTTTGGTGACTAAGAACATAGGTTGTTAAGTTTCAAGAGAATGCATTGTTTGAACCATAACATGTGAATTTATTACTACTTTATCATGATGAGCTTTATAAGAAAGAGTTGTTGTTTATGATGCTTGGTAAAGTGTCCGAAATTACACTATGCTAGCATTCACACTCCATAAATTTTTCTTTTATCATTTACCTACTCGAGTACGTGCAAGAATTAAGCTTGGGGATGCTGATATGTCTCAAATGTAACTATAATTTATGAAGGATTCATGCCATGTTTATATTTTTTATATGGTTTTGGTGCACTTTTATATGATTTTCATGAACTAACCTATTAACCAAGTTCCCGACGCCAGATGTTGTTTTCCGCATGTTTTTGGTTTTCCAAAAAATCCATACCAAACGAAGTCCAAGTGCCACGAAAAATTTACGGTGATTTTTTACGGACAAGAAGAGACCCATGAGGGTTCGGAGAAGGACCAGACGAGGTCCAGGGGGCACAAGCCTGGGTGGCGCCCCCTAGGGCGCGCCACCTGAGCTTGTGGGACCCTCAGGAACCTTCCTCGTGAATCCAACATTGAAAATCCTATAAATACAGAAAACCCCGAAAGTTAACCTAGATGAATTTTTCCGCCGCCCCAAGCCTTTGTCCTGAAGCGATCACAATCGGAGCTTCGTTCCAACACCCTATCGGAGGGGGAAATCATCACCGGAGGCTATCTTTACCATCCCCACAGCCTCCGTGACGAGAAGGGAGTAGTTCACCCTCAGGGCTGAGGGTATGTACTTAACTATGTGTTTGATCTCTCTCTCGTGGGTTCTTGATTTGGCACGATCTTGATGTATCATGAGCCTTGTTAATATAGTTGGATAATATGGTGGTCCTCCCTCTCTATCTTATTGTTATGAATTGAGTCTTGCCCTTTGAGGTTTCATTATTATCGGATTGAATATTTTGGATTTGAGCTCACTTGATGTATGTCTACTACTTGTGAGCTGCATTCGGATTTTCCCCGAAGAGGAGAGGAGATGCAACACAATAGAGATAAGTATTTCCCTCAGTGAGAACTAAGGTATCAATCCAGTAGGAGAATCATGCAAAGCCTCATGAACAACACATGCACACACAAAAGCAAATACTTGCACCCAACGCGGGCAAGAGGGTTGTCAATCCCCTTGAACTCATTACTTGCAAGGATCAAATCTTGTATAGGTAGATGGTTAAATTGCAAAACAAAATAAAAGTTAATAAATTGCAGCAAAGGAATTTAGGTTTCTGTAATATGATTAAAGTAGACCCGGGGGCCATAGTTTTCACTAGAGGCTTCTCTCTCGAACACATAGCATACGGTGGGCGAACAAATTATTGTTGGGCAATTGATAGAAAAGCGCATAGTTATGATGATATCCAAGGCAATGATCATGTATATAGGCATCACGTCCGAGACAAGTAGACCGACTCCTGCCTGCATCTACTACTACTACTACTCCACCAATCGACCGATATCCAGCATGCATCTATGGTATTAATGTCATGAAAAATAGAGTAATGCCTTAAGAAAGATGACATAATGTAGACAAAGTAAACCCAATCAATATGAATAAACCCCATCGTTTTATCCTTAATGGCAACAATACAAATACATGTCTTATCCCCTACTATGTCACTAGGATATAGAGCACCGCAAGATTGAACCCATTACAAAGCACCTCTCCCGCTGAAGATAAATCAATCTAGTTGGCCAAACCAAACGGATAGATCGGAGAGAAATACAAAGCCATGAAAATCATGCATAATAAAGTTCAGAAAAGACTCCATTACTTATCATAAATTTTCAAATCATAAACCCACAATTCATTGGATCCCAACAAACACGCCGCAAAATAAGATTACATTGGATAGAACTCCAAGAACATAGAGAAGAACATGGTATTGAATATCAAAGAGAGATAAGAAGCCATCTAGCTACTAGCTATGGACCCGTGGGTTTGTGGTGAAATACTCACGCATCATCGGGAGGCGGCAAGGATGATGTAGAAGCCCTCCGTGATCGATTCCCCCTCCAACAGAATACCGGAAAAGGCCTCCAAATGAGATCACAGAAGAACAGAAGCTTGTGGCGATGGAAAAAGTATTTTGGGTGGCTCTCTGGTATATTGGAAATATTTGGGAATTTATAGAGGTGGGATTAGGTCAAGAGGTGCCACCGAGGGGCGGGGGCAGAAGCTCAGGGGGCGCCATGTGAGCTTGTCGCTCCCTCGTGGCTCTTCTGGTCTGCCCCCGAACCTTGGTGGTTCCTTATGGTCCTGAAAAAATAATCCAAAGATTTTCTCTATTTGGACTTCGTTTGATATTGATTTTCTGAAAAGCTAAAAACAAGCAAAAAGTAGCAATTGGCATTGGGCACTAGGTTAATAGGTTAGTCCCAAAAGATGATATAAAAATAGCGTATAAATGCATATAAAACATCCAAGATAGAGACTATAATAGTATGGAGCAATCACAAATTATAGATACATTGGAGAAGTATCCATGTCTTGCATGTGGATACCCGTGGTGACAATGAGGTAGTCTATTGAGTCACTTGATGTATGTCTTGGTAATCAACTTGCGGATTCCCAAAGTGACATTGTGGTAATCTAGGAACATACCACATAGGTTGATACACGTTTTCATCCCACTTTCTTCGATAGAAACTTTGCGATAATCTTTGAAGTTCTTTGTGTTGGATTGAATATTATGAATCTGAAATTATTTGATACATATCGAATAATTAACTCACAAATACTTGTGGTGACATTGGAGTATCTAGGTGACATTGGAGTTGATTGATGCATATCATATGGTGTTATTGTAGTACGATCTCTAGCAATGTTTGTGACACTTATAGGGATGACTCAATAGATTGGTCGGAAAGATAACTTTGAGGTGGTTTGCTATGTACAACAATTTTATCTTATGTTCTCCGTTATTGATAAGAACTTTGGAGTGATTCTTTGTCGCACGCTGAGGAATGGCTATATGATTCAATTATGTTAGCACTGTTGAGAGATTGCACTAGTGAAAGTATGGACCCTAGGCCTTATTTCTAAGCATTGATATACTGTTTTGCTCATTGTTTACTACTTGTTATATTGTTGTTTTTTATCTGAGATTACAAAAACCTATTTCTACTATCCATACTACACTTGTATCACCATCTCTTCGCCGAACTAGTGCATCTATGCAATTTGCCATTGTATTGGGTGTGTTGGAGACACAAAATATTTTTGTATTTGATTGCAGGGTTATTTGAGAGCGACCTTCTTCATCCTACATCTCTCACGAATTGATAAATCTTAGGTCATCCACTTGAGAAAAAATTGTTGTTATCCTACAAAACTCTGCGCTTGGAGGCCCAACAGAGTCTACAAGAAGAAAAGTTGCATAGTAGACATCACGTGTCGGGGCGCCAGAGATAGCCGCTCCTCCTTGACACGCATTGGCGGCTGCGAGAGGCGCTCTTCCTTTACGCGGCGTCCAATTTGGACACCTCGGTTGCACGACGGAGAGCGCAGAGGAGATGACGGCTCTGGCTTCACGGGGAGGAGCGTCCCGGTGGCGGAGCCCGGCCATTGAGGTGGAGCACAGAGCGACGGAGCATCAACTCCATTTGCTCCTCGTACTCCGCGTCAGTGGCGGCATACACCTGGCCCGCCACCGCTGGCGTGGACTGTTGGTGGTGTTGCGATGTCTGGTCCTCCTCGTCGCTGGAGGAGATGACGATCTCCGCCTTCGTCGAGGAGTCGCCCACCGATGAGGACGACGACCCCGGAGTTCGTTGGTGGCGTCACCATGAATCGCCAGAGCCCGCCCCAGAACCGCCGTCTGCGGCACCGAAGCCCGGGACTTGCCCATCGTCGGAGCTGTAGAGGGACATGGGCGAAAAGAGGGGATGAGAAGGAGGATAGATTGTGATGCGGACAACGTCGAAGCGCGGCTTATATAGCCCCGACCGGGCCATGCGAATGGCGGTCAGCCGCTTCAATGTTGCATAGCGACCGGAGTCTATTGCTCGGGAAGTTGCGTCGCATTGAGGCGGCGGCTCCCGAGAGGTCGCATCGGTCAGCGTTGTCCTCCCTCCCTCCGGCCATATCACGGCATCAATGACGGGCGTTGCGTGCTTTGGGCCGGCATGAATACTGCGTGGTAAGCGGTGCGTGCATCGGAAGGAAAGCGCACAGGGGCAGGGTAGGGGTTTGGGTGGGCCAGGGCGGTAGAAGCGGGCGTGACAGCGTCTGGGCTCTCGTAAAGCCCCTCATGTTTGTCTCTGGTTTGCGAGCCCTCCCTTCTCCACGTTTGTCTCTGGTATGTGCGAGAAAACGCGTTTGAACCGATACAAGCCCTCATTAGATGGCTTTCATGGTCCGGATGCGGATCAGCATTAGAGATGCCCTTATGTCTTTAATTTCTGTTAAGAATCTATCTCTGCAGAGGCAGCCGGTTATGTTGTTCACCTCCGCGTGCTGAATTGGTGTATGTAAAGACCGAATTTGGTTTCGTTGTGTAATGCGATGGAGCCGGGGCGGGTGCGCTTTTTCCTTCTTTAAATAAAATATAAGTAACTCTGTATATTCTTCATACGTTTGCATGCATTGACTGTTCATTAAGTAGATACATTTGTCGGAAATTTGATAACGATGCACAAAATTTGTCCTGCCCAAAGTGGAAAGAGGGAAGGGAAAATGTGCAGGAACTACGTGTGTAATCAAAGAATCATTGCTGCATCCTACTATCGCTCCGGTGCTGCTTCTTTCTTTCTGCGTTGCACGTGCGTCTTGTTGGTTTGATCAGAAGTCAAAGATCATCTTCCGGAACTTCTCCATATGCTCGGCCTGCAGCGAGATGGCCACCGACAGGCTGCCGTCGCGGCTGGCGCTGGGGAGCACGAACGCGAGCCCCTCGTACGCGATGCCGCCGGGGCCCATGAACACGGGCCGGCCCCAGCCGAAGTCGGCGTCGTGGATGGGCAGGCGCACCCAGCTGGTGAGCCCAAGGTTGGGGCACCGGAACGTGTGCGCGCCACGGACCAGCGCCGACAGGTCCGGCTGCATCTCCAGGTAGTCCAGCGCCGAGCGGCAGTACTCGTTGTCCATCACCTCCAGCGCCGCCTGGATCGTGGTCGCGCCGTCCGCCAGCGAGCCGGTCACCTTGCCCGCCACCGCGAGCGGCGTGGCCGTGAAGATGACGTTGCCGAAGTAGCCCTCCGGGAGCAGCGGCTGCAGCCGCTGCCGCCCGTCCGTGGCGCAGTACAACTTCGTGGGCTGCTCTGGGGACAGGCCACGGGCCAGGGACGCGCACCGCCAGACGTGTGCACCGAGCACCGCGTAGGTGCTGAACCGCGGCGCGCCCTCGCCTGTGGGAAGCTGGGCGCGGAGGCGGCCGAGGTCGGCGCGGGACAGCTTGAAGATGTCCACGGCCGTGGGCGGCGCTTCCGGCTTGGCGGTGAGGGCCTGCGGCTCCTCCGAGTCCAGCATGGCGGGCGCTGGCTGGTACTCGATGTGCGGGTGGGAAGGGGTAGGCGGGTCACGTGCGCGGAGGAGGGTGCGGTCAATGAACGGCATGACGGCAATCGGCACGCCACGGCAGAGGTCGGCCCATGAGTTGATGAAGTGCAGGCCGGAGAAGCCGTCCGCGACATGGTGCTGCATGCCTATGCCGAGGGCGACGCCTCCGCACTTGAAGTGGGTCACCTGCAGCAAAATCGCGCCAGTCAGGGACAGCAACATGCAAATAAAAACGAGCCGGTTTAGTTGACAGCTATCGTACTAACACAACTGGAGCATGCGGCACCGATTAATGATTTTCTATCACACTCGCCGCCTCACTAGTAATATTCAATTTTGTTTACTTAGACTAGCGATAGTAGGAGTAACTTCAGCAGTAACATCGAGTCCAACTCAGCAAATTTGCTTATATGGCAATGAGTTAATAAAAAGAGAGGTAGTTGTAGTAATTTAGCTAGTTACTGTAACATCACATGTTCCAATGTAGTATGAGTCTATAACCTAATAAATGAATTTTTGCATGTTATCACACTTAAGTTACTACCCACTATGAAGGTAGTAATATAGTCTAAAAATATGTGTATGTTATTAGTGTATGTTACTATCCATTGTGGCTAGTCTTAAGGAGAACAATACCCAGTCGACCAAGTACAATTATCGTTCGGCATCTTGCACTCCATCGAGGCTTGCATATGGCAAATGACCCCTCAAATAACACCAAAGCCTCTTAAGGCCGTGATCACTGATCACGACTCGTGACGAGCTCTGAATGTAACAGAGCACTTTGTGATCGCAAAAACTAAAGTCAGCCGCATAATGCAAAATCAGCTAACAACACAGAAGGCTCGACCAAAAACGATAGCTACTACTCTACAGAATTCAGACCGTGACAGAAAGATCAATCATAGGTTGCTTCCTAGCACAAGAAAAGTCACCAGTATTCCAGTTAGGCAATCACTTTCTCGCAACCGACATGAAATGTGCGTCCGAAGCAAAGTACACTTGCAGCAAGCAACCAGATGGTTGTATACCATCTTGGTGCAGTTGCGAGATTGCACAAGATTATGATCTGTCAACCTTGTCAGCATATTAACTGCAAAAAACAAACGGTAACATTAACTAGCTGACGCTAGGAGGGAGGTCCCAGCGAACCACGTCACAACCGTTTGATCGCAATCAAACGATGGCAACTTTCACGAAAAAATCCCTTCACGAAATGAAAACTGCCAACCCCTACAACTAAAGTTGCCACCCGTCTACAACTAAAACTGCCATCAAAATCATTCGCGGATGCTAACCCCTCCTGGGAAACGTTCGCCAGGTATTGGGCTCCAAAACAAAATCCTTATCACGTATTGGTTCGTCTGTGTTTGAAAGATCTCGACGAATCATCGGATTCGACCTGGTCACTCACCCAACGCTCTCAGCACAATTATTTTTTACTTATTTATTTTTTGTGGAAGGATGTTTCTTTAAGGGAAGATGCTGTCAAAGTTAATTCTCCTGAATTTTTTAGAGCTGTTGGATTTGCCCTTTTTCTCGCGAAAAAGCCAAAGGTCATCTATTAAGTAGGACAAAGCATTACAAAAACACTCTTACAGAAATTAAAAAATAGATCCAAACCATTGAGGGTGTCCAAGTCTTCTTCCTCCTGCATTAACGGGGTGCACCCCATGAGCAAAGCTCGTTGCCGCCTTGGTAGTACATGACCATAACTACAAACACCAATACTAAGGTATGCTCGTGTGCATACCCCTTCACCTCCTAACGTGAGTGTACAAGTGATTATGGCTTCTCGGCATCCCACCGGCGGTGTCGCTGGTCCGCCTCATCTCTAGTGGCCTTAGGGCCATAAAGGCGCAGCGGACCCTAGCCCTTTCTACTGGGAGGGTTTCTGCTCTGTTTTTTGGTGTTTTTTTAGGTCAATTATGGTGTGTGTCCCGTTTAGGAAGTCGTGGCTGCGACGGCTCCCTGAAGATAAAATAAGGTCCTCTCCACTTAGCCCTCCCGGTGGTGCGTCTAGCGTCATCGGAGGGCTGTGTGAAGGTTTGTTTCTAGCGGATCTCGTGGAATTTGGTCGGTTTTGGTCTCCTATGGATCTTCATAGATCCAGTCCTCGTTTATGTTCGTTCATGTGTCTACAGCTTTGATCTTTCCAACCTATGCTTTCGTTTATCCGTGGTGATTCTTGTTCTAGTGTGTTGCTCGTGTGGGGCATTGCCGACGGCTTTCTGATTGTATACTAAAAACTAGTTCTATCCGGCTCCGGTGAGGGAGGGGCGATGTCAGTGACACGCCTTCCGCTCGCTCTAGTGCTTGTATTCATTGCTAAGTGGTATATGGACCTGGATATAATTTTTATTATTTTTGGTATTCCTTATACCACCATGACAGAAGATGAATAGATCAAAATGTTTTTTGAAAAAGAAAAAAAAACTAAAAACACCAACACTGGAATTGAACTGCTTGATAATTCATGCACTGAAGGGGCCACACCGGCAAGTTATTTTGTAGGCATTTGCATAACAGGTATCCTCAATCATTTGCTTACATGCATTTTATTAGCTAATAAAGACCTACAAAAAGATAATTCCATCTACTAACTAATAATATGTCGCGGAATTGCAATGATATTAGTCGCCAAATTGGAATGGTAAATCAAAACTTGTAATGTACGCAAGTTGCCATAAAATTCCACTAGTGCAATTTCGATCTTCACATAAACAAGACCCATGTCGACAATTTCAAATAAATTGAACACGTAATTACGCAAACTGATCGATAATACTAGTACACATTCTTGTGAAGAACAAGATGCTACCACTTTTGGAGTGGTATAAGGACAGAAAAATAAAGCCTCACGCGAGGTGCGAAATTCAGGGCGGCCTACCAATGAGGATTTTTTTAGAGAGAGGGCGCTAAAAAGGCCCAGTACGCGGGGCAAGGTCGGCCGACAGTTTTTTTTATTGAGGGACCAACAGATAATTGCGAGGTGTGCCAACAAGTCAGTGATCGAACCACACGCCACACCTCGTCCCATTTCCTTGCAGGTCCACCTGGCACGGTCCATTGCATGCGGACATGCGGCGCCGACGGCTGAAAGCGACGCGCGACCGTCCGTTTCTACCGTACCCACCGGTGGTGACATCCAGCGCCCCTCACGGGCACGCCTCACGCGATCGCACGCGTTGTGCTCTGCTTCGTCGGCACGTCCTACTCTGTTCCTCGCGTGTGAGAAAAATCACGGAGTGGCATTCATGGTTTACCTGGACCACGAGGAGCGGGTAGGAGGAGATGCCCCCGGTGAAGTCGACGGCGGGGATGAGGCGCTTGAGGTCCATGGTGGGCGCGAAGTCGCCGAAGTCGTCGACGGTGCCGTCGGGCGCGTCGGCCTCCACGAAGAGCACCCCTTCCGCGTTGCAGTCGATCTCCACGCGCCCGTCCTCGTCGCGGGCCAGTCGCCCCGCCATCGGGTAGAAGGGCACCAGCGCCTCCGCCAGCGCCCGGCGCATCCGCTCCGCGTCGAAGTAGCGGCCCGCCTCCTCCCCCTCCCCCGCGCCGCGCCGGAAGAAGTAGACGCTCGGCGTGTGGAACCGCGGCACGACCAGGTCCGGGTTGGCGTTCCACAGCCGGAGCCGCGGCGTCTCCTCCGCCGGCACCACGACCGTCGATCCCCGCACCGTGATCTTCATATCCGCGGATGCAGATCTGGCGGGCAGACTAGGCGGAAGAAAAGCGAGCGGAAGGTCGTCGCTACGTACGTGGAACGCGCGTGGGAGCAGCGGCGATAATTAAAATTAAAGTAGGGCGTTTGGTAGCTCTTGGTGGAGAGCTGGTGAGCGAGCGGGGGTTGGCGCGGGTTTTATAGCCGGCGAGGCGGGATGGCGCGACTTGCCCTCGTTTGCCTCCAGTTTTTTTTTTTTTTTGCTCGATTGCTTCGTGGGAGGAGCTGGTGACGGGTGGGGAGTTGGTGGGATGGATGACCAGGCTCGGAAGCGGGACCCCTTTAATTCCTCGGTGGACGCGGTCCAACCTACCGGACCGTGGACGCGTTGCCGGTGATCTACATCAGCCTGATCTGTCCACCTCTATCCGCTGCATCAGCACTGACAGCAGCTTCCGATTTTGGGAATTCATCAGCTGCCCCTAATTCCTACTTGGGCGAAAAATGAAAATGCAGCGGCCAATGATCTTGGACGAGCATCACTCCCTTGTTTTGGTCGAGTATCGTGATTATTAGAAAAGACGAGATAGATTAAAATTTATTCTGACTTGTCATGTACTTTAAATAAATCATTATACTCTTATATAAATGCCCACGAGGCTCAAGCAATACAATAAATTATTTCACCAATTCTTTTTCTCCCTTCTAACATGGTATCTCGTCGATCCTAAACCTTAGCCGCCGTCGCTTTCGCACCCACGCGCTGTCTCTGGAGCAGTCGGCCTCCATGACCGTCGTCGGGGGCCGCACCGCCCGTATCTTTGGGTTTGTCCGCCGGTCGTGTTGACCGGCTGTCCTAGAAAGTCTTTTTTCGAATCTTTGCTCCGGGGCTGTCTCTCTCCCGCTGGACAACTTGATCGGCGATTTCTTTTCTGTTTTCCGATCTAATCTTGATCGATTTGCGTCGCCCACCGCTGCCGTCGACCCCGTATGCCTCTACTCCAACACCGACACGATCGGTCGGCTTCTTCATCGACCCAGCGGCCTCGCGCGTCGTCCGCACGTCTGTCCGCCGGTCGCCCCGACTCGGCGGCCTCGCGTCATGTGGCGGCCCTTCACCGCCGCCGTTCGCGCGTCGACCTACCCGTTGATCTACGCCGGCCGTCACCGCCCTGCTTCGACCGGGACTCCTGCATCACCCCGACCCGGCGGCCTCGCGCCATGTGGCGGCCAATCATAGCCGCCCTGCCGCCCGCCATCGCCGGCGTCATCTCCGACTCCGTCGACACCCCGCCTCCACCGAGTGTCCCCGACCTCGCGCGCGGTCGGATTGATCACTTGCCCGCCGCCGCGATCCGCCTCAGTTACGCCGTGCAACCGACCTGGCCTGTCGGTTGCGCGCGCCTTCGCAGGTCCCGTGAAGATCGTCCCCGAGTTCAGCGCGCCTCTCCACCGATCGAGCATCGGGCTGCCGCTGTGTCGCCCCATCGGGCCGCAGCGCTGCCGCCCCGCGGCTGCATCGACCCACGTGTTGCCGATGTGTCGCCCCTTTGGGCCGTAGTGCCGCGTCCCGCGGTCTACCGCCGCATCGAGTACGTCTGTTCCAGGTCGTCTCTGTGGCAGCACCGACCCTCACGCTGTCACTGCGTCGCCCCATCGGGTCGTAGCGAGCGTGGCACGCGGTCTCCGCCGCTGCCCGAGGCCATCACCGCGGCTGCACCGACTCGCGCGCCGCCGTTGTGTCGCCCCTTCAGGCCGCAACGCCATGGCCCGCGGTCCCAGCCGCCGCCCCGAGGTCTTCCCGCCGTCGCCCCAACCTACCCACCGCCACTACGTCGCCCCTTCGGGCCGTAGCGTCGCGGCCCGCGGTCCACTCCGCCGTCACACACGTTGACCTTCTGTGGTATGCGCAGCGCCGTCTCCCTTGGCGCGGGAACGCCACCGTCCGTGTCGGTCTTCGTCACGTTGTCGGGTTCTTCGCCTCCTTCGAGCATCGCCGCCGCGCTCCTAACCTAGCCGCCGCCGTCAGGCCGCCGCAGCTGCTCTTCTTCGGCCGCCGCCGTGACTACCCCATAGCCACTGCCGCTGCCCGTCCACCTCCCTTCGTCTTTGCCCAGTACCAGCCCATCGCCAGCGTCGCCATCATCTACCCCGACCACTTCGTCTACTCCGACCACCGTTGCTGACATCGGCCCCCCCGCCGATGGACGCCACAATCGTCGTCGAGTTCTTCTCTGCTGGCCTCTCCGACTTCTTCGACATGGCGTACAGCTCGTGCAGGTCCCAATCTCTGCGCGCCCGGTGCTGGCAACACCGCCGCGTGCCTTCGTCCACGACGTGTCCCCGGGCCTGGCAAGCCTGGTGCGGTGCTCCGTCAACTTCGTCTTCGTCCGTCTACGCATGCCCGGTGCTGGCAACACTGGTGCGTGCTTTCGTCTATGATGTGTCCCCGGGCTTGGCAAACCCGCCGCGACGCGTCGTCAACAACATCTCCTTTCCGGCGCACCACTACTTCGACACCATTGCGCCCATGCTAACTCGGCGCCCCCTTGCGCCCGCGGCTCCATGGCGACTTCCTCGACACCGGCCACCCTGACTCGACATCGACCACGGCATTCTTCGCACGGCTACCTCGACCGCGGCTCCACCACCCACGCTCTCGGCTACCTCGACAACGACACAAAGGGCTACCGCCTTGCTTGAGCAACCTCGTCGGTTTCCACTCCAGCCACGACTCCGCGATGCATCGGCCGTTACGATTGTGGGGCGGGGGTCCGTCCGCTTGCCTTCGGATTCTTCTTCAGTCTCACCGTCTGTGTCGCTACCGTTGTGACTGCGGAGGGATGTTGAGTATCATGATTATTAGGAAAGACGAGATAGACTAGGATTTGTTCTGGCTTGTCTTGTACTCCAAGTAGATCATTGTACTCCTATATATATGCTCACAAGGCTCAAGCAATACAACGAACTATTCCACCAATCCTCTCTCTCCCTTCCAACAGTTTTGTTATATTTTTCCTGGTTTTGGAGGATTTGTTACTCCGCTCACATGAGACACAATGGCGGATTTTGAATTATATACTACTCCATTCGGTCCTAAATATAAGCCCTTTTAGGGATTTCAATATGAACAATCGTATGGAACAAAAAATGAGTGAATCTGCACTCTAAATATATCTATGTATATCTAAAAAGTTTTATATTTAGAAATAGAGCGACTATGTCTCTATTCTTAGCAGACGAGCTTGCTTCAAATCACGAGCTCCCAGTTCGTATTTGAGCTTGGATTATGTCGAGAAACTCGGAATCCAAACCAAGATAATTTCGAATCTGAGAATGACACAAGATTAGTTTTTTTAGAATGCGCATGAGCTCTGTGTGCCTATATATTAAGATAGAAAACAATGTTTATGTTACAAGAACGGGTATGTAAAGCCGCATATCATCCATGGCAACCTACACAAACCACCGGGGTTGGCACAAGCATGACTAGCCTACTACTCGCTTTAGACTACCATTCCCACCTTCTTTCGCTCACGCAAAAGATCCGGACCTTATTGACAACTGCCGAGGCGAGAAGGGATTTGTTCTTGAATATCCTCATATTTCTCTCGAACCAAATGCAACAGAGAGTGTGGATAATGACTGAGTTTATCCTTTTGCATCTTGGGAGATATCGTGTGCTGCCACAAAGACCACCATGGAAGAATTTGGTCAGTCGATGAAGGAGCAAGGCAGACGAGGCTAGTCCAATGGAGCACACTGAGCCAAACTTCCCGGGCTTAGATACACCGGACAAGGAGGTGTACGTTCATTTCATCACACTAGTTGCAAAGAGGGCAGGACGGCTGATGGAGGAGCCCTCGTTTGGCAAGGCGATCGGAGGACCAACACCTGCTTTGTTGCACAAGCCACACAAAGAACTTGAATATTATGGGCGCCCGGGGTTTTCATACTAGATGATCCCATCCACATGAGATACGACCAGCAAAGAAGGCTTCATACGTGGATTTGGATGAGTAGCATACAATAGTCATCCACTTCTAGCTCCATGAGTCAATGCCATGCGTCATTGGGGAGCCTGAAATTGTTGGCCACATGGTAGGGGAACTGCATGATCGTGGCGGCAGGAAGACGGCCATGAAGGTCGCTCACCCAGGAGGATACATGAAGGCCTTCCTAAACCGTCCGACTGGCTAGGGGAGCAGGCTTGACAACCGCAGCAACATCGGGTTCCAAATGAGGAATACGAGCTCCGTAGATCTAGTGGTCCTACAAAAATAGCACTAAAGCACCGTTTCTGGTCTAAATCTAAGAAGATGCCTTGAAGATGGATGTGGCATTAACTGAAAGGGAGAGCTTCAAGGACAACTAGGGGAGAACATCGGAATTTTTTGTTGCCAAAGCCATTTAGTTCTTAGGGAGTCGTTGAGAGCTTTGAGGTTGTGCAAACTGAGCCCTCCAAATTAAATGCGAGTGCACATCCGTCCAGGGGACCAAGCATTGGCATCCTTTTGCACAATCTGTGCCAGCCCATAGGAAATCCCACCTAAACTTGTCGGCCTCCTTGAGAAACCATGGCGTCGGGTCCAAAGCAAGCATATGGTAGATGCCCATGGTCGTGATCATGGTATATAGCAAGATGATGCGGACGATGGTGTGATCAAACCAGTTTTCCAAGAGGGGAGCTTGCTTGTGAATTGGTCCGCCAGGGGCATGAAATCAGGGTTTTTAAGCTGCGAGTGAGAGAGAGGAAGGCAGAGGTATTTTATTGGGAAGGATGAATCGTGCAAGGGGAATTTTTGGTGAGGCCTTGCAGATGAAGCTCATGGCACTAGATCGGGATGATAGCATTTTTGATAGGTTTACCTTAAGACCCAAAGTGCCTCAAAAAATATCAAGAGTGGCCTTGGTTCCCTCTATGTCGTGGAGCGACAGTCACAAGAAGAGTGGCACGTCGTCTACGAACATAAAGGATCTATGCTTGATGCCCCATTGCGAGAGGGGTAGGAAAACTTGTTGTTGATC